ATATTGCTAAAAGTGATGTTAAACCATACTCACTAATATTCCGAGAAGAAGAAACATACTACAAACAGCAAAATATTTCATCGCGATCAGTATCCATAACTGAAAACACAGGCTTATGATCGTTTAGGCAGTTTTGGTATACAGACAATTGAAAAATATTTAACTGACAAAAATATTTCCCTAATACAGCATGTAAAAATAGCCATAAACCATAGACTATGACAAATCCAGAACAACTTGGACTTCCTGAATACCGTATCTGATGTGAATTCAACAAGAAATGTACAGACGTGAGCGTAACAAGGAGAGAAGTAAGCTGCCACGTGGCCTGTTGAGTGACTCCCTCCATGTACAACACATTACATACTACCACAGCAACACAAGCACACTGTACTTTATATGCACTGCACATGAATGGACCTGTTAAATAAATTAATTCCAATGGCTTATGTACGCGTGAGTGACAGAGACTAACTCAATTTTAGCACACAAGGGGGCACTAGGAAGAACTTAATCTTACAAAACCTCACCCCTTGTCAGCAGACTGAAGATAAATAGGGAAAATTCACACACAGAATAAGGTAATTAAGAAAAAATGGCCGAAAAGTCCCATATCTCCTTCAAGGACCTATTTTCTGGACTGGAATATCTGTCGAAATACTCGTCTTATTTCTAAGAATAATTCTATCTTGCCGCTAGAAGGCTCCTGCTGGCTAGCTGATGTAGTTTACAAGATGTTCATGGCTGTCACAGATTCAGTGTTCAAGTGACTACTGCCAAAAGACTGCAATGGTGAAGCCTGCATGCCATACCGACCACTTGGACCAATTCCTTTACATGGCACGGCCTGGGTTTGTTGCTTCAAATGAGCTGAAGATGACATTGGGAAGAATGTGGGGAAATCTTATGAAATAACGGCATCCCAAGATATGTCTTCCCCAAGAAATAAGACGATTAGCCTTTTTTTACCAGCAGCCATTTCTTTGGTGATGGAAATCTTAACGCCATGCATTTTGGGGGAAAGAGGATCAAATTTGTAAATATTGTATAACAGGCTGCACTTGAAGTTTTTCTGTGACCTTTCCCAATGAGATTAATGTCAAGCAGTTCCAATCTGTGTCCAATGATGCCATCGGCAGCCTCACAGATACCCACTACAGGCTGCTTCAACATCACATAATCTTTTCAAATCACACTTTTTAATGCTGAGTTCTAGTGACATTGAAGACACGAGAGGAAAGTGACTTATTGCTTGTAAACTTTTGAATGTGGAATATTCCTGTTCTGGACTACAAAAACACAGGTAATGCAGATGTTGTGTCACATGTTAAAATAATGAAGGGTCAATGTTCCATCCATTTCTGTTGATCCCTGCCGCCATATTCCTGAAATATTGCGGTGTAAAACTAAACTCACTCACTCACTCAATGTTCCATCAGTAACAATACTTGGAGGAATCATGTTACAGCCATATTTATTATTTTAGAACAGTCTCACAAAAATTCACAGGCAAAGCCTGTACAAAAAATACAATCTCAAAGTTGGAAATTTTATAAATTATATTTTTATTTTTTTTGGTTCAAAACCGGGAGATAACTTTGATCATATGCTTGATCATAACTCTGGTTCTACTTTACTAACACTGTCAGGATTCCCGTATCAGATGGATCATGTGACTTGATCAAAGCCTCTCCACAAACCATATATGGATATGCTTGATCAACATGAAGCCGTCATACTCAGACCAGATCTCTTCACATGAAGTTCTCATTAATCTTGGCACACAAAGATACCCTTACAGCAGATCTTATTTTGTAACTCAAAGATATTTTTAACTGGATGAACTTTGACTGGTATTTTGAAGTTGGATATTTAATTACTGACACAATAATACAGATGATACTTTCCTTCTACTTTTACTAATGTATATTTTAACACCTTTAATATAACTCGATCAAGAGCCAGAAACAGCTCTCCGGAGGTTGAGAAATAAACATGTGAATGTTTATATGCCAACAACAGATATCTGAATGCAAAAATTTAAAAGAGCCAGTGAATAAGATTGGATTAATCCAGCTATATGCCAAGGGGATACCAAAATTCACACATTGTGACCTTGAATCCCACTATATTCTAAATGTTTAACTCTATTGCTTGAATCCCACTATAGTCTAAATGTTTAACTGCAGGCGACAGAACACTGAACGTTACATTGCAGGATATGGAACACTGAATGTTACATTGCAGGAGACAGAACACTGAATATTACATTGCAGGCGACAGAACACTGAATGTTACATTGCAGGAGACAGAGAACTGAATATTACATTGCAGGAGACAGAGAACTGAATATTACATTGCAGGAGACAGAGAACTGAATATTACATTGCAGGAGACAGAACACTGAATATTACATTGCAGGAGACAGAACACTGAATATTACATTGCAGGAGACAGAACACTGAATGTTACATTGCAGGAGACAGAACACTGAATATTACATTGCAGGAGACAGAACACTGAATATTACATTGCAGGAGACAGAACACTGAATATTACATTGCAGGAGACAGAACACTGAATATTACATTGCAGGAGACAGAACACTGAATGTTACATTGCAGGAGACAGAACACTGAATGTTACATTGCAGGAGAGAGAACACTGAATATTACATTGCAGGAGACAGAACACTGAATGTTACATTGCAGGAGACAGAGAACTGAATATTACATTGCAGGAGTCAGAACACTGAATATTACATTGCAGGAGAGAGAACACTGAATGATTACATTGCAGGAGACAGAACACTGAATATTACATTGCAGGAGACAGAAAACTGAATATTACATTGCAGGAGACAGAACACTGAATGTTACATTGCAGGAGACAGAACACTGAATATTACATTGCAAGGAGACAGAACACTGAATGTTACATTGCAGGAGACAGAACACTGAATGTTACATTGCAGGAGACAGAACACTGAATGTTACATTGCAGGAGACAGAACACTGAATGTTACATTGCAGGAGACAGAACACTGAATGTTACATTGAATATTACATTGCAGGAGACAGAACACTGAATATTACATTGCAGGAGAGAGAACACTGAATATTACATTGCAGGAGAGAGAACACTGAATATTACATTGCAGGAGACAGAACACTGAATATTACATTGCATGAGAGAACAATGAATATTACATTGCAGAGACAGAACACTGAATATTACATTGCAAGAGACAGAACACTGAATGTTACATTGCAAGAGACAGAAATGCCAGAAATGAATTGTTAATTTGGACGGAATGTCTAACATGTTACCACAAAGATGCCATAAACCAATTTGACAGCTTAAAACAAATATATTATGACCAAATCTCATAGATTTACTAAAAGAGACTGCATATGGATATGCTTCCTATCATACGATTCTGACATTTGCCAGTCTTTGTGTCTATGCTTTAGATCCAGGTGTTTTGAACAGATGGACATTCCCAATGGCACTGGACAGTGTGGAGCCAGTGATATATCTGGCTGCGTAAATGCCATGTACATGATAAACATGAAACGTGGCGGGGCCCCTAGCAAGATTGTGGCGCGCCTGGAGATTAACCAGCTCTACCCATGGTGCTGGTCATCATCGTCCAGCCACCTGCAAACCGGACCAGTGATCAAACAGACAATGTATTCTGCTCCACAGCACAGACACAGACACCACAGGATGCTGGAGGAATTACAAGCGATACATTAACTGTGATGGTGGTTTTGGAATCAAGGAGGAATACATGCTGTCTCTGCATACTCCTGACAGTCAGGCACAGTTTCACATTGCACAGAAACTCAAAATACATTCTCTTTAAACCATGACGTAATATTTAGTACTGTCAAAATGGAATCTTTGTAAAACTTATTTCTACATATTTTCATGTCATGTAGATCCTATTCTCAAATTTCACTTCTGATTTACTAAAATAATGAAATTGGCTGACATCTGCCTTCGAGATATGGCTTGATGCCTCCAATTTTGTTCTCCCATTTCAGTGTGTTGTATTACAACTTGAAGATGCTGCCATGCACGAGGAAAGGTTGATATGGAACTACAATTTGAAACCAGTCTGAAGATGAATAAATGTTCAATTAATCTGTCCCAGGCCCCGGCATCCATTACAAATCCTGGGCACTGAGATTACCAGCTGACAATGCTAAGTATCTGAGACGATGAACTGACAAGTCCTCGCCATTAGATACACATCACACTTTATACACACTACTCTAATTGGATCACCCGGCTTTTAGAAATGCTTCTAAGATTTCTGAGATATACATCCTCCTTACCGTAAAAGTGCTGATAATATTCTCATGATCGAGTGAGTGAGTGAGTGAGTGAGTGTTCCATGGTCGGAGACTGGATAGACCTTGGCCCACTGGCATAAGCAATGTTAGCACTTTTGCTATAAAAGCATGGGAGTCGCTGTGGTCCTAGTAGTAACATCACCACAGGAGCCTTGGCATCTTTCAGCAAAAACATCTGGTGCTATGTCTGGATGTCACAATCATTCAAGCCCTGAAATTGTTTTGTTGAACAATACCTTGCAGACAAAGCCAACATGGTGATATGCTAAAGAAATGGGAGTAATGACTATGCATGAATGCATTGTGTTGTGTATATGTGGGAGTTTAAATCCAATATGTATGAGCATTTGGGCAATATGCATGTGGTACAATGTGTATAAGTACAGACGGACGGTTTATGTGTATGCAGGAGTTCAAGTCAAATATGGATGAGCATACAGCTAAGTACTGGGTGACACATGTCACACCTAAGTACTGGGTGGCATATGTCACATAGCCAAGTACTGGGTGGCATATGTCACATAGCCAAGTACTTGGTGGCATGTGTCACACAGGTAAGTACTGGAAAGCATGTGTCACACAGCTATGTGCTGGGGCAAAGATCTCACTTAAATGGATTACTATACACAAAACACTCACGGCTGAACCACTTCCACGTAAGCATAGCGAGTTTTCACCACATTGGACCTCTTTGGATCGACATCTTCATCTGAAATACAGAAACAATTATTTAGTTTACTCATTTCATGCAGACTGGAAAGAAACAAATTAAACAAAATTAGACCTGATGAATTACGCTGACTGGACAGTTTGACTGGGTTGGACACAGCCAACTCTCCTGGGGACAAGACAGTTTGACTGGGTTGGACACAGCTAACTCTCCTGGGGTTGGAAAAACAAGACAGTTTGACTGGGTTGGACACAGCCAACTCTCCTGGGGACAAGACAGTTTGACTGGGTTGGACACAGCTAACTCTCCTGGGGACAAGACAGTTTGACTGGGTTGGACACAGCCAACTCTCCTGGGGACAAGACAGTTTGACTGGGTTGGACACAGCCAACTCTCCTGGGGACAAGACAGTTTGACTGGGTTGGACACAGCTAACTCTCCAGGGGACAAGACAGTTTGACTGGGTTGGACACAGCCAACTCTCCTGGGGACAAGACAGTTTGACTGGGTTGGACACAGCCAACTCTCCTGGGGACAAGACAGTTTGACTGGGTTGGACACAGCCAACTCTCCTGGGGACAAGACAGTTTGACTGGGTTGGACACAGCTAACTCTCCAGGGGACAAGACAGTTTGACTGGGTTGGACACAGCCAACTCTCCTGGGGACAAGACAGTTTGACTGGGTTGGACACAGCCAACTCTCCTGGGGACAAGACAGTTTGACTGGGTTGGACACAGCCAACTCTCCTGGGGACAAGACAGTTTGACTGGGTTGGACACATCCAACTGTCCTGGGGACAAGACAGTTTGATTGGGTAGGACACAGCCAACTCTCCAGGGGACAAGACAGTTTGACTGGGTACAATCAGTCTGGCTGCTATCAGTGTCTGTAAGAGTAAAATGAGTCAGATTCAACCAGGAAACCATCAAATCCAGTTCAACCTCTTGGTCACAACAATAGTAAATACAGTTGGAGTTGGCCACCAACAGACTTCAAATCTGACACATGTGATACAATCACCAATAATACAAACATATCTCTTTATTTCAGTTATAGTAATATTTCTGAAATGATCAGATAGCTACCGAATTACCTCAACATTTCCTTGCAAGTGTTTAGCTGTCATGTCTACAATATATGTACATATATGTACTGAACTGCCAAACAAACCAATATAACAAGGACCTGCATTACTCAGACCCAATATATCCATATTATTTTGAAATAAAATGAACTTTAAGCAATGTGGAATTAAAAAATCATCAATGAGTTTCACCATTCTCAAGACAAAATGTATGAATTTTTAACTATCAATAATGTTAAGGTTAGCTAAGATCACCTCAGTGCACACAACAGAATCAAGAGCAAACCATCAAATGTTCATACTTTTGAAATAAATGAACTTTGTTTCAAAATGCTGCATGATAATTACCATAGTGAAATTTTGATATTTCAGTTTCTAACATCCATAATCAGACTGAGTTTGGAATACATCCCTAGCAACTCCTCTTTACATCTTGAAATACACACTGAAAATAGGTGCTTCTGCATGAAACTAGATTCCGTAACTCCAACAACTTAGCTGGTATTATGTCTCAATCTCACCTACAAAAGTGACCAATAAGATGAGTTGAGTTATTTTCATTCCATTTGAAAATATCACGATGTCGAAAACTACATCCTTTCGCCCATCATCCGGCCATATCAGGTGTACAAAACACTAGCCTTCGGCAAACTATTTGCCATGCAATACAAAACTAGCTCCAACAAACAAAACACTGTTGAAAACTTCAGGAAATGAGAGTATTTACACATCATTAGTGTTGTATAAAATTTCAAATTACATTGTACGGATGCCATAATGAATTGTTAGTACTACCAAGTACCAGAATATGCAGCTAGCATGGGCAGTAATTGCACATGATGCCACTGTCACCAAATTCGGATTGTACGAGGCAAGTGGATGTCAGCACACAGAGGAGCTCAGGTGTTGACGGTTTCAACCTCGCGCTATAATCATCCCAAACACATCATCATCAGCTGCCAAACAACCTCCCATAATTCCTAACAGGAAGCTATTTACCCAAAATCTGAGAAACTTGCTTACAATTGCTCTTAAGCCACCATAAGAAGTGCATACAGTCATGATCATTAAAATAACTGAAACATGTATCGTCTTCAAAATATGATGATTTGAATATAATAAGCAGCCACAAAAACTATGTTCCAGCCTCTGCAGTACAAAAATAAATAAAATATCTAACTTTGCCTTTATTATTATTTTATAATTATTTCATCAACTAATAATGACTAAGACTAAGCTCCTAATGTTTGTCATTAAGACTAAAGTTGAGATTGAAAGTATGATGTGCCGTTGAGATTAACATCCAATGGGAAAACAAAGCGCCATTGAGCAGCTGAGCTGGATATTGGCGCTGTACAAATATCAGCATGTATGTATGTAAAACAAAATTTGTACCATATTGAAACCATTCCCAACAAGCATTTGAGAAGTGCCTTGTACATAAACATAAAACGTGAGAAGCTAAAACGTAAAAAACAAAACTATGAATTACTTTGTCTTTTGTGGCATTTGATCCCAAGCAGCATCCTAGAACCAAGTAATATGTTTTGGCAGGCAGCTGCAGTTATCAATGACATTTATTTAGCTTGTCAGCAGAAAGAGCAGTGTGTTTGGAAGTGAGTTCCCTTGAGGTGAGCTTCACCTACGGTGTATGTCAGTCGTACAGGATTTTAACTGCACTCCATGAAACACAACTGTCACCAGATGAAATATGCAAATCTTCCACAACAGATTTGCACTAACTTATAACAAATCCAGCTCACATCTTTATCTCCAAAAACAAATGTATTCCAGTTACAAGAGAAGCTGCCTCTTTACAACTAGCAGTCTGCAGCAAAAGTGATGTTTGTTTGCTATTTTAACTCTGTATGTCACAATATTTGCAGGTTACAAACATAAGTTACATGTATTTACAAACATAAGTTCCTTAATTGAAAAAATGAATACATTAATCTAAAGCCCAAGAGTCCTTAAGACTTAATCTGGTAATTTGTCAAGAGTCCCAAAATCTAAAATTAATATATTTGACTTCAAATTACATTGTTCAAGTCATTTAACAGCTTGTATATAAGACTCAGAATCTGAAATCTGCACTGATGACATGGAAATATATCTGTTCAAAACAAAGTAGAATATCAAAGATTTAAGTTACACAAAAACATTACTGACACTTGATTCTTTCTTAAAACTGTTATGAAGAACTGACTTATTTTTAAACCCTGAAGAATACAAAACAATAACAACACTGTGTTTTTCCCTTGATAAGAACATTTTGATTCCAGACAACGACAGACACCAGCAATATAACTTATACCAGTATCTTTTCACCAACATTCAAGTTTTAAAAACTCATATAAGCTCCAAACCTATCTCTATGTATATGGCACAGCATAGCCTTCAGTTGTTTTATCATATACTCACACACAAAAGTAACGCAAGTCAAGTATAAAGCAGATATGTATGTAATTTTCCATATTAAACACAAGAAATGCGAACAGGGTCAGATAGACAAAAAAATTGAGTGAAGACATTTCATTGGCTACTAAGACTGATGACATCATTAAGTTTTCGAAAGGTAAAGGGGTTGACAAGAGCGGATCTTGCTGGTGTTTATTGGTAATGTGCCAATCTTGTCGAGGGTTTGTGACCCTTGGACGACCGCTCCGAGGAAGGTCATCTGTGGTCTTTGTGGCGTTGTATTGATGCTGGAGATGGTAAATAGTGGTTATGTTTACGTCGAAATGACGGGCACCATTTTGGGCAGACACTCCAGCTTCCGAACTTCTGATAGCCTGGTTTCTTTCAATTTGAGTTAAGCGTGGCATTGTTGAACAAGGAGTAATAGACCTAATTTTTGTGCAGTCTTATACCCACCAATGGTGGTGACAATTCGTGCATGTTGGATTTCACGAGAAGTATGTGCATGATACCCACATGTTCATTGGTATGGTGCGTTTTGGTGATTCCTTCTATTGATGTGTTTTTACTTGGGCCTTCCAAAACGCAACAAAAATGATTGAAAACACCATCAGACTTCACTATCTGCCAAAAACCCATATCAATTTAGGGTCCAAGTTTGTTTCCTATTTGGATCACAAACTTGCGTTTCTTATGTGTGTGAGTATATGTTGTTCTGCTGAGAAATAAATGGTGGAAACACAGTTTTTGTTCATACAAGATAAAATAAGCAACACTAAACCAAAGATCCATAAACTTTATAGTACATTTAGTTCTGAGACTATACATATAAGAATGCGTAATTTTACCAAAAGCATAACTCACGTTAACTCTACTTGTCCACAAGGAACAACTGAAACTAAAGAGTCCCAACTACATGGCCATTCAAATGTTCAGAAACAGACTATTATGTGGAAAGGAAGTTTGGTTGGTAGTATTATTAAAATAACAAATTTGTCGTAGAAAATTAACAATAAATAAAAAAAAAGAAGAGGAAATACTTTTACGCATTCTGCATCCCAAACCAACCAGGAAACAAATCGTTTGTACTAGAAACTCTCCTTCAAGCCTTGTCCACAGCAAGGGTCTATGGGCTTACTGTGATGTTGCTACCGAACACGGAGTTGTGAACTTGTTCTGATAAACATGACCTGTCAAACTCAGTAGCTCGGTCGAATCATGAAGAAAGAAATAATAAACATGTTTCTGACTGAATTTTTACAAAAACCATAGCTGGGATGGCTCATATAAGACCTGAGAAGGTCCAGCTTAGAATTTATCTTCAGTAATCCATGCTTGTAGTAAGAGTTGACTAACGGGATAGGGTGATCAGGCTCACTGATTTGGTTGACACATGTCATTGTTCCCACTTGCGTAGATCAATGCACATGTTGTTGATCACTGGATGGTCTGGTGCAGAGTCGACAATTTACAGACCACCACCATTTAGCTGGAATATTGCTGAGTGCGGCATAAAACTAAACTCACTTACTCATACAAAGTTTCAGGAGCATATGCTTTGCAGTTTCAGAGGATGAAGTAACACTAGAATAATGAATGTATGCTAAGGTTAAAGTCTGATTCATCAGATATTACACTATGCCAAAACCTTAGATGATTTCATCTGTTATTCACATACTCTATACTTGTTGCTGAAACAGTTTCATAATCACCACACAGAAGAGACTGTGGAATGAGAAACGTTTCACTTGAACTACTTCTATGGTGGTGGCCATGTTAAAACCACATGTGAAGTCTGAAATTACCTTTTACAAACGTCATATCTGTAATCATGCATGCAAAGTTTGAGCATCACAGGCCTTGGGGTTTCAGAGAAAAAATTGAAACTGCAACAACACAAGAAAAACAGCACAATTGTATTGAATGTCACCTGGCTCTGTTGTCAACAGCATAAATGTCAACTGAGGATGTTGCTGACAGCTTAGAAATATCTTCTGCGTAGAAACTGAGGAATAATTCCTAACAGTAAAATCTAATGCTTTGAACAAAATATGATGAAACCATAATCCTCATGCTTGGAATTTCATGAGAGAGTTTTACACTGCTGAATGTGCTGAATGTAACCAAGAGAAGAGTCAAACACAAGGTGAACATTTAAAATATTCCAGAAAAAAGGAAAATGGTTTGAAAACAGCCTTAAGTAAATTTGTAAAAATGGTCGCTACAACAGGTTGAGCTTGAGCAATTTGGGGTGTTACGTATTATTTATGGGTTTAAGGAGAGGATGTTGGTGTGAGGATATTCATTTTTTGGGTACTTGGTGTAAATTTCCCCATGTGGCAGCAAGTTTAAAAGTGAGTCTGGGTCAAATTATTCATTCATCACCATAGCTGATACCACAAAGGCAAAGTTTCATTTTCACATGTTCATTTTTGGGGAGATGTCAAACAAGTCAAAGTTAAAAATGGGCAGAGTGAGTGAGTGGTTTCCAGCAATATCACGGTGGGGGACACCAGAAATGGGCTTCACACATTGTACCCATGTGGGGAATTGAACCCGGGCCATCGGTGTGATGGGCAAACACTTTAACCACTAGGCTACCCCACCGCCCTGCAGAGGGAAGGACAACAAAGAAGGTAGCACCACAAAAGGTCACCTCATTTTTCAATCAGGTGAGCTAATAACTGCAAAATACTCTATCAAAATACATGATCAAATCAAACCTATAACTATAGACCATCACCAATGCAATAGATTTAAAATGTTGTGCAAAGGTGGTGAACAGGAACAAAACTGTACACACAAACAAGACCCATGTATGTAAATATCATTATTCATCTGAGCAGTTGGACATTCTGGCGCTGGTCCTACATCCATTTCCCCTACCGCTGAGCTTGTTCTACCAACGTCCCTCCAGGTCTTGTAGGCAAGGCTTAATCTGGTAATTTGTCAAATACCTTACACATGACTGTCTACAAAATATCATCAATCTCAGCAATTAGAGCATCTCGGTGGTGCTCCCTGGATCAACTACTTCAGCATGCTAGCACTTCTCAGTAGTATACAGTTCTCTCTGTTGTCACCCTCTTGTTGAGAAAGTGCAACCTGTCTAAACCAGACTTCTGTTAGAACAAAACATCTCCAATTTGACAGTTGCCTGGATTAGGGAGATTTTAGCAGGAGTTGCACCCCTTACTGTCTTGGGATGAACATGTCCATCAAAGACAATGTATAGTTAAAATTATATAAGTCACTTAGATGCGTTTAAAATGCTTATAAAACTGAAAGTGTTATCTTTCGAAATCTTTGCTGAAACTAGTAATTCATTCTTTAAATCATGTATTTTATAAAATGTAGAAGCATTGTTAGACATGTAATATAAATTTATGACAGGAACATCAAATGAGGCATACCCAAATGACACAGGTCTGGTCAACAGAGTTTGTAAAGTTTCCAGTCAGTGAATACAACGTCCTTTTTGTGCAATCCCCAATAATTTACACAAGAAATGGATTAAGACAGCTTACAGTGTATTAAATAAGTTCGTGTGAGAACTTAATCCGGATTACAGAGCATCACTCACAGAATGAAACTGTTCTCTGTCTCACAATTTCTGTCCGTAATCCTGAGAAAAGCTTGATACCGTTACTTCATTAACACTCTGAATTTCTCCACCATACATTGGGACCATTATTCAGAAAAATGTGTATTAGTCAGAATCTAGTTTTGACATATTCCACTATTTTCCATTGCTAATCACTCCTTAACCCTGATTCTAACCCTAACCCCAACCCTGTTTTCCAATCCCTTATCCCTTACTAATTCTAGCCCTGCTGTTCAATAACACTCCTTAACCCTAAATCATAAAACCTATCCTAACCCTAACTTAACTGTAACCCTAAATCTACACCAAACAAAACCTAGTTTTAACCCTAAAGGTGCGTTCTTGCAGTGTGACTTGTACTAACAACTTGTAGCATGCATCCCAGTTGCAACGTGAGAACACCCGAATCGTAATGGTTTGAAATTGCATACAACTAGTCGCAGTCAAGTTGAAAGACATAGGACTTGTCCTAATTCCTACTACAAGTCGCAAGCTCTCGACCAATCAAATCATTTAGATCTGTGTCCACCTCAGAGTGATGTCCCTTTTGCTTATGTTGACATCGTGACGGAGACACAACTGAAAAAAACCCGACTCCTACCGATTTAGGCTTTCCCTTCTTCATTTTCATATGTAGACTGACATTAATGCTAGCGATTCTTCTTCACTTGACGAACCCATGTTGCAGAGTCATACATGAGAATCTCACGAGATACGAGTCATATGCGACTTACACAAATAACATAGCCGTTACAATCTTTGTAGGTACTACAAGTCGTATGCTACAAGTTGTTACTACTAGTCGCACCGAGAACTCAGCAAGACAAACAACAAGAACCAAGACAAGATCAAGCACCTTCAGTCTACTAATGTTGTTGTTTTATAATTACTATCAACCCTAACCACTTACAAACTCTACTCCTCCAACATACATCTTAATTATCCACAGAAATGGAAAATAAGCTAAATTTAGGATGAATTCATGTGCACTGATTTTAGATACAACAATATGTCAACAGAACTAAATTAAATGTTTCATATTTCAAAATGTCTTAATGTGCAATGTCAGCAAAATTAAAAGCCTGAATGTGGCTTATATATCATACATGATATCAGAGTCTTGATTCAAGGCTCATAATTTATGCACAATCACTACAGAATTACATGTCATACATTAAATTCTTGAAACTTACAAGATTCTGTTTCATCAACATCTGATTGGTCCAATGCTTTCTTGTCAACAGGGAACTCTTCCATTGGTGGAGCTACCATAGCTTCTGATTGGCTGATTGGTACTTCAAGAACCTTCTGAACAGGAGAGTTCATGACATCAGAGTTGCTTCCCTTCTCCAGAGCTTCTGTAAACACAGGCATGGACATACATATAGCTTCAGGCAAAAATCTTTCATTTGATTAACATATAACTGCAGGTTTCTTTGTGAGCGAAAATCAAAGACATTTTGTGGTAACAGCAAAGTAAAACTGTATAGTGAATACCCACAACAAAGAATGAAGATTAGGTGCCCCACAGCTAAACAGACATAAATTAAATAAGAAGTGTATCAAATAATTGGTACATTTTTTCCTTAACTCATGATATATCTGTATACAAACTCAACAATTATTCATTGGGACCACAATAAAGTCATTATAATTTCTTTTCCCTTCATGAAATAACTGACAAAATGAAAAAAAGGGTTAATAAAAAATATACAATCAATCAATTAAAAATGAAACATTTAAACATGTGTAATATCAATAATGCATATCATGGATGATGAACTTTGTTTACATTTGAAATATCCTGCACGTACAAAACCAAGCCAAGTTACATTTGTAAAAAATGTCGCGAAGATTAACTAGCTGAGTCAAATACATTATTTTGTTTAATCAAAGAAAGTTTAAAAAACCATATCCACAAAATCATACAAATATCCACCAAAAACCAAGTCCACTGCTGAATCTGACTCTATCCTAAGCATGGATTTCTTCATCATGATCAAACAGTGATGACACCAGGTGTTCATAATCAGATAAGCATGTCCTGCCCAGCAGTGGTGTTATGTATAACCTATAGGGCAGTTACATAACATGTGTCAAGCGTAATATCTCACAAATGTAATAAATCTATCTCCTGGTTGTATTTTGCCATAATACAATAACATATGAGTAATAACCTCATACACATCTACAGTCAATATAGTTGCTGGTGTAGGAGTCACCATCACTGACCAGTGCAAGTTTATAGGTGACACTATCACATTTACACAACACACTTGTCACAAGTCTGGTAGTAACAGTTCTGATTCAAACTTTCGAAGCAAATCATATCATCTGTGAATTGATATTAAATAACACACATTACATCAATCTGGACCACCAACAGGAAGTATTCAAGCAGAAAGAAGACAGTCAGATCTTGTTTCACTAAATGAAAAATAAGTGAATACATGACCAATATGACACAAAAATAATCACCAAAATAGTTAATGGTCTTTGAGGGCTTATTCAACTGTAACACGACTGTCTGCTAACCCGCGACAGTTTCACCAGCAAATTTGTACATAGTTTAATGATAGGCCTGAGACATGGTCTCATACATGAGGTCGTGTGAAGACAGGAATTGTCTGCTGGCATGTTGGTTTGTGGCCAGGGCTGCTGGTCTGGCAGCTGTAATGAAGGCACTTCTTGACAGGCTGGAGTGGCTGGGCTGACTGACACTACCCTACCTACAGCACCTATTCCTGGAACTCTGAAGTTGGACTTCCTTGGTGCAGACTATAAACCACCACAAATGGAATACATGGATGTACAGTAACACATATTTCGTCATTAAGGCCAATTTGCCAGTTCCTCCTATTTCCAATATCAATTAAGTGGAGCCATTGTCTCTCCCAGTATGGGGGTCTTAAACCCTGATTATGGACGCAAGCATATTTTAAGAAATCTCCATTTTGAGAAAAGGCTGCAATTTTCAATGCCTGTGTAGGTGTGACTGACAAGAGACCAGCAAAGGCTAAATAACCATCAAAATATTCAAACTGAATTAAATTCTTTGCAAGTGTACTTGGTTTGGCTGAGCCCTAGGGTTGAATGGTTAAGAATAATCAGTCACAGATCTGTAATCCAAAAAGGAAGGGTACTTTTTATTAGGGCGGATTTTGCCTGTTTCAAAGAGCTCCTTGAAAAGGTCAGAGCATGTGATCACTGCAATTAATTCCAATGTGCAAAGGGAAATGTAGACGTTTTGGCTGCACATATAGTAACTTCTTATAGGACCATAACAAACTAATCACATTTAATTTAGATTTACTTCAAAAGTAACATTAGATGTGAGTCTTAAAATATATTACCATCTGGATGTGAAGAAATATGTTGAATGTGTAAATTCAAAATAATAATGGTGGAACCTATCAAGGGAATCATGAAGACAGGCATCTTAGTTAGGATTACACAAGGAATTAATGCACGCCACCAGCTGAATATGTTTCCGTGTGCTATTCTACCTCAGGGTGTAATCAAGCCATGGAACATGACATTTTAGTGGCAATGACCTTAACGGTCACTAGCTAAAATTATATCAACACTAACAAAAACAAGACCTTGACCACTAGATTGACCAAACGACAAAGGACACAAAGAAATGGCATGACAATCAGAATTCTACCATGACTTCAGTAAATACTGGATTGTGATTGGTTAATCAAAGTCATTCAGAGGTATATAATCACGTTAAATACCTCTGATTTTCCAACATAGTACCGGTATGTATTTTTGCAAAATCTTAATAATGCGGTTATGGTAGAATGGAGATAAACGTACTGTGTTGGAAAATCAGAGGTATATAACGAAATTATTATAGCTCTAATTTTTTTTATTTAAAACCTCAGGCTACGCGTTCGGTATTAAATCAATTTAGAGCTATTATAATTTCGTTATATACCTCTGATTTTCCAACACAGTATGTTTATCTCCTAAATATTGTATTTGTCTTTTAAACACAAGGGAATATCGAAAGATATATTGTTATCACAGGGTGGCATAGTGGTTCAAGTACTGGTTCATGGGTTCACATCCCCTTCTTGGTATTTTATGTTGCTTCAACCAGCATAAAATCAAACAATTAAATAAAAACGAAGAAATCAATTTGCAAATATATACTCTTAAAAAAGGTAGGGGAACCTGGACTTTCAGTTTGGATAAGCGTTAACAGACTTTTCATTGACAGACATCTTCTAAACGAACAACCATTTCTCTTTATCACCACATCTAAACACAATGCATAGGATGCATGTGCACAACGCAGTAGCCCCATACACGTGCTGGGGTGTCATTCTTGATTCTGACGGTTTTCAAGAAGGTTGATAAATAACTGTAGACCATCAATTTTCACAATAATCTTGTATCACACAGTTGTTAGTGTTTGTTTCTAGACATTGTTTGTTTGAAAATGAAAATCGTCCACATGCAAATTTCACGTCATACACCAATCATCTTTCAAGAGCGATTACTGTACAAACAACTATGGTCATAAGGAAGTGCAAGTGGTGATGCACTCTCAAAACATTCATTATTATCATATCAACATTGATTGACTCCGATACATCTCCCAATTTATTACAATCGTGAATTAAAAATGAAGTTCCCCTACTCTTTTTGAAGAGTATAGTAGGTATATATCGGAGGCAACTATTTATCATCTGCTTCATGGTAACACAGATGTAGGTGTGAACAATGTCAGGAGATGGGACAGGGGATGTGTCTTACCTGTGTTCACAGGGTCTGTGTCTACCGGGTCTGTGTTCACAGGGTCTGTGTCTGCAGGGTCTGTGTCCAGGGTGTCCACCATAGCCTCCACATACTTGGTCAGCCTCTGTAGCTGGGGATCCTCCAGGTTCTTAGCCTTCACATTCCCTAAGAACAAGGTAAAGAAAAGTAAATGAAAGGACACCAGACCAAAAATATCCATGTAAACAATGCATCCCCGGTGGGAGTCAGTTCTCATCAAAATACATTTTCAAACTGATGATTTTTTAATATAATAACTAGTCCAGTAAAAAGTACCAAAAATATTTTGTTCACAACTTTTTTTATCACCCTAAATAACAAACATGTTGGACAAGCATAGTACTAGTGTCTTGGAAAACTTTGTGTGTTTTCATTTGTTCACAGAAAAAATGGTGTAAATGAACAATATCCTGTCTCTCGCAAAGATGCCCGAGGTCATGGTCAATTACCAGGTTTAATCCCTCAAATAAGTACAATGTACAATGTCTGGTCCATTTTGTATTAACAGCTACTGTGAATTTCTGGAATAGTGCTAAATACATAAAATCACACTCACTCATTGAAACACTTTCATCAACTGAAGACTTCAAACTTACACCATCTACACAAATACATGTACTATCATGGCAATAAGTCAAATAGTCAAGTTCCTTAGAAGTCATTTTCATTCCATTTTGATTTTTCTCAACAAACATTCAATATCTAAGACCTTAAAAGTGATTCAGAAAAAAAACTATTTTCACCATGATGCACAATAACGTTCCAGCTTCTTTTTCCACAATATGGCAAGTTTCATTATTATCTTAGCCCGAGGCCCTGTGCTGGACATCAGAGGACTTGTAAGTCTCCGGAGTGGTCCGATGGTTTATTCTCCGACAATTATAGCTCAGTTTTATTACTGGGATGACTGTCATTTTTGTACTGTCTCATCAAGATATAATCTTTCATTTTCTGCATGCAAAGAATGGTTCATTTATTGCAAAAAACAGCCTTTTATCTATGATGCCGCATTTATTAAACTCGTGTTGTTTTGAAGATTTCTGCAAAAAAACTATTTTGAAGCTGATGTTGTTGAGTATTGGAAGTCCTGATGCAGACCGGATTGTTGCTAACATTCTTACATGGTTGATTCATAAAGAAGTGATAATTATCTGATATTATATCCAGTAGATACTGTGGCAAAAAGTGGAGGAAATAATAAGTCTGAAACAGTGGGAAAAAATAAAAACTTCCGGAGAGCCTCTTTACTTCAAAATATGAAAGTACTTTCAACATGAAACACAAGGAGATGTGACAATATCACCAACTTAGCTTTCAAATCGAAATATTTCATGACACTTCCTATAACAAATAAACGGTATAAGAGCTGTTGAATACTGTATTGTTATTGTTTAGAAATTATTGAAATGATATTTGACACAGATAACCCATTTTATCAAAACAACTTCATTACGTCATGAAAATGTTCTCAGTTGGAGCAAATATTTCAGCGATGGTCCATTGTAATGTATTGCTGTCAGGAAACTGATGGGATATTTGAACTACACCCCCCTGCTTTGTACTGAGCTCCTAAATAAAATGTGCATTAAATATTTTTAAATTTGGAAGGAGGAAACCTATTACATTGTTGTGATGCAACCATGTCGTTTAAGCCCGTTTATTCAACACCCCACTGTGCTTGAATAATTGCATGATGGGATATAATTCATTCACCATTTTTTTCTAGAAATATTGACAGAGACCCAATGTGGTGACTTTGCTCATGCAGAAAATCATTCTGCCGCTGATATGTTGTGGGGCATAGGCTTCCTGTGGGCTTTCCAGTTCACCAAGAGAAAATAATACTCCCTTGAAAAAATCAGCGGATGAATTTGACAGAAACTCAACGGTTTGACAGCATTCCAATACACTAATTTATCATACAAGCCCAATAGATTCTCCACATTACTCCACAATGCTGACCAATGTCGATAGTTGCATCCTCCAATCTGATTGGTCGATACACATTTCAGTGACAGTCGCACATTTCGGACATCGCAAGACTCATGCTCCTAGTCTCCAGGGATGAGAATAAAAATGATTTAATCTTTCAAAGATTGATTTAAAGAAAGGAGAATTTGAAAATTGCCACTACTTGTCATATCCAGCCAATGTTTATTGAAAGACCAAGGCGTGTGGTAATTGGTGAGATGATGGACATGAAATTCTCCTCAAAGGATAAGATTACACTGATATTGTGGCTGGGCACAACCCAGTAAACAGCCGGGCTTTAAATCACTCACTTCCTAGTTTGTTTCATTTACTGCACATGCTACAACCACAAAACACTTCATTCAAAATCACATGCTCTCTATCTGTTGAATATTCATGAGCTCTATGCAAAGTGTCTTCTATGTGAAATCCTTGCAATATTTTAATGTTCAATACAATCTTTGTAAAGAAATAATACAGACAAAAGAAACATGAGTTTTCTTCAGTTCCATCACTAGATAAGCGAATAATTTCAATGCAATTAAAAACCTATTATTCAATCTAAAGTACATAAATTCAAATGACATGCAAGACATACATCATACTAAATAAATGAAAAATATCTATAACATTTACAGCACAAGACTTATTCTATCACGGTAAGTAAAGATATTATGTTTTTAAAAGGGCAAAGACTGAACGTGTAGAATTCCAGTTATATCCAAGTATATGTTGTGAAGAGCCACCAGTAAGATGGCTGTTAGTTAGATACAAAAACTTGAAGCCATCTTCAGCCTAGAGAACCTATCTGTGTCTAGATAGTCAGGATTTGAATTGAAGAGTTACCTCTCCTTACTGACAAAATGGAATAATGAAGTTTTCTGCCACTTGAGAAAAAAGCAGAAGGAAAGGGAGTGGGGAATTTTTAATGTGCAACATTATGTTTTCCATGGCCTTCCAGCCCCGTCAAAGCTGTGGGTGTCGTCATCCACAGCACATCAACACCAGCCGGACCACCCTTTGTACTCCTCATCACGCCCCCTCACCTTCAAGAAGATCCTCCAGCATCTTCTCATCTGGTGGTGAAATTGAAAGGATATCTGCACCCTGAACACTTCCCAGATCTTCTCTTGCAGGATCTGCTTGAACATCTGCAAAACATTGACTTTTTACTGCCATGTTCATAAACTCAATACATCTGAAAATTAACTAAATGTTGGTTGATGATTTATATTTCCAAGCCCTTTTGCTGTCTAATTAACATATCATTGCTTGGTTGCTTGCTGATTGATATATCGATCATAGCCATGCCATTTTCTAATTAATATATCATAGCCATGCTGTTTTCTGATTGATATATCATAGCCATGCTGTTTCCTGGTTGATATATCATAGCCATGCTGTTTCCTGGTTGATATATCATAGCCATGCTGTTTCCTGGTTGATATATCATAGCCATGCTGTTTTCTGGTTGATATATCATAGCCATGCTGTTTCCTGGTTGATATATCATAGCCATGCTGTTTTCTGGTTGATATATCATAGCCATGCTGTTTCCTGGTTGATATATCATAGCCATGCTGTTTCCTGGTTGATATATCATAGCCATGCTGTTTCCTGGTTGATATATCATAGCCATGCTATTTCCTGGTTGATATATCATAGCCATGCTGTTTTCTGATTAATATATCATAGCTATGATGCTTGCTGATTAATATATCATGGCTGTGTTGCTGACTGATTAATATATCCTACTTTGCCTGTTGAATTCTCATCTATTTTAAGGCCTGGTTTGAAGTTGAATTAGAACTCTCTGTAGTCTCTGAGAATAAATCATGATTTGAAAGTAAATGTCTTATTTCCATTTTATATAATCACCCACATAAAATCAATCCTAATTAAGGTGCTAAAAATAACACTGTACAATTTAACAAACTTTCAGGCAGCTGATTTTGTATATAGGCTAGCATCCAGAACAAATGGTCATTTTCTTTTTCTGAAATATTTTTTTGCACAAGCCCAAAAGAAAAATTCCAACAAAATTTCATTTGTATTATATCTACTCCTCCCATGTTCACGTGCTGTATAATGGACAGTCCGTCAACCCTGTTTTATAGTCAAGTCCATATTTTCTATGATATATTTGTTTCATGTCACTTTTTAAGTTTTTTTAGCCATGCAGGCTCTTAGACAGCCCTACTGGCTATTGCTTCGAAGTCTGACAAAGCCTCTCCACAATGGGGTAATCTTTTATTTCTATGGCAACCAAAGTTTAAGAAGACAGTCACAGTGGCAAGAAAAAAATCGAAGAAAAAACCCAATAACAAATTTTCTGATGCAGTTACACAGAAAATTTCACAAGAAACCAATGACCAATTTGTTTGAAATTAAAATGTAACCACTTCCAATTTGACATTAACCTAATAAACCCTTGGTATGGCAATGAATTGGAAAACTAGCATGATTACTTGCTGGTTGTAACAAGTTCTTTTTGTGACACGAGAAAATGCAGAAAAGAGGGATGCACAAGTTTCCAAAACTCAAAAGGGGAAAAAAAGTTATAAAATTTCATTCGCTTCAGACAAATTGGTATCTTCTAGACTCAGCTTCCGAAGCACCTTGAGGGTTGGTATGCTAAGAAGAGATGCTAATATCTTCCACACCACTAGTAATAGTGGCACTCCAATCGTGAACTGAAACATACCTGCACTAGAGTCAAGCCCTAGGCTGTCGTCTTTTCCTGAATCAGGATTTTCAAGGAGCTCGGTAGCTTCGTTAGCAGGAGCTGTAATTTGTAATATGCAGAAAAGGGAAAATCAGAGCACAATTTGTGAAATGGACTCAGAAACGAAACCTTGAAAATCTCGCCGCAATTTGCACCAATTAAAGGTCATCGCTAACATGGCCGACCAAGAGTAACTTCCTCTCGTTAAAATGGCAACCCTAATTTGGGATCAATTCGAAAAGAGAAAATTGGGGAATTTTTTAACAAAATGATACCCCCTAATTTGGTATCATCAGCGACTCGCATTTAAGAAAAGACCATCAATTCAAAAAGTTTTCCCAACTTCAACATTAAAAATATTTCAATTTCAAAATTCAAACAGATTGAGGTGCAAAAAGCTGTGAATTCGTCTTTTATTATTAATCCACTTAAATTTGCAAAGATCAAACAGATAAGGATATTATGAGAAGAAAATTTGCAATTTGAGAAATTGACGCTTTAAAGAAATCTTCATGAATAATATGTTTTGCATTTTAATTCAATAATTGGTTCTTTTATTAAAAGTCATGTCAAACTTGTTCAAAGAAGGCAATCAGATTCATGTGAAATATTATATTCTTAACACTTCTAGTCAGAAATGTGATATATAATTCCTATTCCATAATACGGTTCAAAAATTTAAACTGAACACTGGCTTGTCAGAAAAGTGAAAAGAGTATTTCCGGCAAACTGGCAAAATCTATTTTCCTTTCCTACCATGTGTAATATCTCAATACAAATAGTTCCATTCAGATTACAATGACATGAGTTTATTATCTTAATAAATAGTATTTGTTTTCTCTAATTTTTCATGAAAACATTATAAATCATTTCAAATGTTTCTGTGTTTCTAATGAACCCACCATTATTGTCCATATCTTCAGCATCCATCTCAGGTGCCAGAGACTCTGGTTTCAGGGGGGGATAACTAATTTCTTCAGTTCTCATTACATCAGGGGCATCACTGATTACAGTTTCTGGACTTGCAGTTTCCTCAATGTAGTCCAGATTTTCGTAATCCCCTAGTCCAAGATCCTGCTCTGACAGGTCCTTCTCCTTTTCGGCCATACGTTCAAGAGCCAACAGATACTGTGCCATTTCGTAAGAACCTTCTTCTGACTCTGACTCCTGCTGTGGAACATCCTGAACATAAGCCAGTTCACCTCCAGAAGTATCGGACATCCCTAGAGGAGTGAGGTAGTTTCGGGGGATTGGTTTCTTCTTCCATATATGGGTCACGTTTATACTGCCCTTTGGAAGCATCGAAATACTTGTGGATGTTAACAAACTCATCCCTCTTATCGGAACTGGGAATGAGAGAATCCACACCTGCTTGACTTAGTCCCTCAGCAGATGCTTGGAGACGGTGGCCATCTTGAAAGTCCATAAGTTTTTGTAATACTGTTGCAATTTCTTCTTTAACATTTTCAGAATAAGAATTAGGTTGCGATAAAGCTTCTTCGCACCAGCGAGTATCAAATGTTTCACCCTGGGCAAAAGCTAGCAGTAGATTTTGTAAAGAACACTGTGTATAGGCGTCCTTCCATGTAAACCCTTTCCTGATGAGAAGCCATATTTGATCTTCTAGCTGCTCTAGCTGTTTTGTTGTCAGACGGAACTCAAATTGTCCTTCAGAGATCTCCCGGTATTGAAGAGACTCACAGCTGCCAAAAAAGCTGATCTGAAAACCAAACCAAAATATTAATATGACAAAGATCTAGCATTCCAAATGACTCACGTCTGTGTATTTGATATGTATGTATACAATTGGAGACAATTTAATATCATAATTCACTTGAAAGAAGACATCTTTGTAAATGTGAAAGTTAATTGTCTTGAAGTGTACAGTGCCTTGTGGACAATGCATGATCAAATACTAATTTTCTTCTATTTGGTCGCATAATAAATGGTTCACAAATAACTATTCACTTTAAATCAGAGATTTTAGATAACAAAGTGTTCTGCAAGGACACATGACACAGTGTTTTGCGACATTATACACAAATATGCTATGATTTATGAGATCATTAGGGACCTCACTCAGAGAACATTTGGCATACGAAGTGTTTTTGAAAATACATCAGTGATCACATAAGTTTCACATTGTTGTTCTTGTTAGAAATCAGAAACAAAGACGATTGACATATTTAACTTCTCTATGACATCACAAATAAAAGTCTTCAAAGCATCTATGATAAAAGTTCTAAAAGATAGAAACAAGCATCTTGTTTTCCAAATTCTGAAGAAAATATTTTCTAAAATTGTTCTAAGATCTAATACAATTTACATTATTCTTTCTGCATATATTTATACCTAATATTAGCATCGAACTCAATTGCTAAGAAAAAGCAAGCCCTGTCTCCTACAGGAGTGCAAGGAGGAGATTTGGGCACTCTCAAAAAGACAAGAAGCTTAGCAAAATGTCATGGACGGAAATCTCCAGTTTTAAGGACCAGAGAACTGGGAAATGTTGAGTCCGAAAGGGATCGGAAACAATTTTCCTACTCGTTCACCTGCTTCCGTCGCGGAGATGGTTTCCTGTCCGAATAATGACATGGTAGTTATAGTTGTCTTAAAAAACAGCTCTGATATGGAGGACAGTGTAGCAGGGAGGCTGATTAAGGATGACATGCACAGTACAGTAAATGACAACGAAAGAGTAGACTCTACTCCAAATAGCTTAATTATGTTCAAGTTACATTATCTCATAATAGGAATATCAACAAAAATAAGAGCGCTGTCATGTCCTATTAGGTACAGTATCATGGTGGCCATGTTGGTTGTAATGAAGTCAGTATTATCTATTTCAGTAGATGAAAAGCTGAAAGGGAAGACGGCATGGTCAAAAATGGTGACCTCCTTCATTGCTGTTAGTGCTTGCAAAACTGCATTACTTTTTAGATAGCAATATTCCAAATAAGATCATTTTAATGATAAAAAAAGCCAAATTTAGTAATGTTCAAGAGGTATGTTCAAAATTATATTTCTAATCTAAAAAGGTAAAGTATTGCACTTGAAACAAGAAATATTTTGATATAGCATTCTCCTTCAGATAACCAAACTATGACTAACACCCAAAGGTCATAAGATCCAGTTTTAAAATGTATTATGCAATGTGAGACTTTCCACCTTTGAACAAACTACCAGATGCAGTTAAACAAAATACAATATGTTATTAACAAAGGGACGAAAAAGATTCAACTCTTAGAAATATTCAATAAGATCCAATTAAATTTGCAACGTGAGGCAAAAACATATCTTATCAAATCAGACAAACACGCAAACATAACTTGCATATTTATTTAATGGTGACAGCATTGTTCCTGAGATGTGATTATCTCTTTAAAATGCCAGAGGTCCCGTCCAATACCAAAATATGAAAACACATTGTGTGTGTAAATGTGATGCCATCTGATCTTGTAAAAATAACTATAAATAATTGGTGGAGAGCGTATTATGTCAGGCTGTTAGAAGACGGATAATTAGTAGAAACAAAATAAGCTTAGACGTGTTACTATCATGCTTTCATCACGCGCTAAGATGACCAGAATGCCAGCGGGGGTATGCCAGTAACGCGCACAGAGAAGATAATTTACAGATTCGATGCTGAGAGTTTTCGGCCTCAATTAGTGCTTCGAATCTTTCCTTTTCTTGGCAAAAATGTCTCCGCTGAGGGGCCATTACTGAGGAGGCCATAGAGCAACAACGCTACGGCTCCTAGCACTGTAACGAGAGCTGGATCTGCCTACATTTGTCAAAGCCACGACTTGCGGCCATAACGGAATTAAGGTTCATTAAGTCGAGGTTTCGCCTGTCTTCGTATGGGGTGACAGCAGGCCCGATCGTCGCCATGGAAGTCTTTGGTGGTAGCGGAAATTATAGTTCTCTTTCCTACTCCCTGCTTGACAAGGGTTCAGCCTACTAATTAGTCCACTATGTCCCCTTAATGCGTATAGTCACACAGTTTCTTACCGCTCACACCACAAACTGGTGTTCCAGGCAGGAAATGAAAGAACAGAATCAATTTTTTCCATGCTTGATATGCTGAAACACCTCTCAAATATCTTCAAAAACAGATTGTAGCTTGTGGGTGATAATGTGCTGGGTTTGATATTTTAACACTAAACTGACAAATGAGAATTTTTGTCTTGTAAAAACCTCCCTTTTTAACATGTAAATGTTTGAAGACATGCCATGAATTAATGCACCTACAGTTCCTGTAGTATTAACTTTGAGTAAATATACAAAACAAACAGATAAATCCATAACCCTTAAAAACTGAATTCCTAAAAACTATCCAACATTTTTCTGAGAGACGATGATAATCAAACATGTATGAAAATATCCCAAATCCTTCTTTTAAAAAACATACTGAATTTTCATGCTACAAACAGCACATTACTCTAAAATTTAACACAGAATTTTTAAAAATATTAATGATACCTCTTCTTTCAAATTGATTTACAAGATTTAATATATTTACAAGAATATTTTTTTTTGTCTGTGAATATCCATGCCAAGATGCTGTGGTGCCTTTAAGAGCAGAGTACCAAATCCCCATGTTTAGATTTATCCTAGACATTTCCAGATTCTCATCCATCTCCATGGCAACAAGATTCAGCGTAAAGGTCACACATTTGAAGACCTGTCACAGGAACGAGATTCCCTACCGTAGTCACAGAAATAATTAACTGTCCTCGAGTATCGCTCTTATGGCATTGTCACATCTAATGTGAAAGACTTTACATAGTGTATCTCTCCCAAAGAACCAAGATAAATTAAACACTTCAAGTAATATTTCTTCTTGCTGTACAAAAGGATTAGCAATAAATATTGTTCAGGGATTTTCCATTGTTTCAATAGTTCTTAACATAAATAAATCAAAGTAACTGTTCTTAATTCCCTTTGTTTCTGTAAGTGTTTAATTTCTTGTAGTTTAGTGTTTCTGTATTTCATTTCAGGATGGTCTGTGTTTGAAATATAATCTTTAAGCAGCGCTAAACTTTAAGTTAATTAAAATTAAGTGAGTTCCTAATTGCAGGACAATATAATGACAATACAACTCCAAATAATGACAATTCCAAAACATATATTGGCCTCTAAAATAATTACTGAGATGAAATGTCTTTTGTAAATTCTTCTCCTTTTGATAACATATTCACTATCGGTAAAAATTATAGCATTTGATGCAATATCATGACTAAAAGTAATTATCATCATTAATTAGAAATTTCCATTCACAGTCACACAAACAATTATCTCTCACTTCACTCTGTGTGATTCGCAAATACAGAATGGTTCAATATCTGCAAAATATTACCCTCTGTCAACATCCAAATTCAGTCTCCTTGTCGCTTCATGTCAGGACCAGAAATATCATGCTTGTGTTGCAGTCAAGAAAAAGCCTTGATATGTAATGTCACAGTCAGTCATTCTGTTGTTTCATAATTGAGACACCAAGATGTAATGTCTCAGACATTCTGTTGTTTCATAATTGAGACACCAAGATGTAATGTCTCAGACATTTTGTTGTTTTGTCAAGTTATACCCTGTTCATATTTTAGTAATGTCACATGAACTATGAGGTAAGTTCAAATCTGGTCTGAAAACACATCTCACTTGTAAAATGAGTTGTCATGTCACATTGAATCTGTTGTCAAGAAGTCTGTCATGTCACATTGAATCTGTTGTCATGTCACATTGAATCTGTTGTCAAGAAGGCTGTCATGTCACATTGAATCTGTTGTCAAGAAGGCTGTCATGTCACATTAAAACTGCCGTCAAGTAGGCTGTCATGTCACATTGAATCTGTTGTCATGTCACATTGAATTTGTTGTCAAGTAGGCTGTCATGTCACATTTAATCTGTCGTCAAGTAGGCTGTCATGTCACATTGAATCTGTTGTCAAGAAGGTTGTCATGTTACATTGAATCTGTTGTCATGTCATATTGAATCTGTTGTCATGTCACTTTGCATCTGTTGTCAAGAAGGTTGTCATGTCACACTGAATCTGTTGTCATGTCACATTGAATCTTGTGTCAAGTTGGTTGTCACGTCACACTGAATCTGTCGTCAAGTTGGTTGTCATGTCACATTGAATCTGTTGTCAAGAAGGCTGTCATGTCACATTAAAACTGCCGTCAAGTAGGCTGTCATGTCACATTGAATCTGTTGTCATGTCACATTGAATTTGTTGTCAAGTAGGCTGTCATGTCACATTTAATCTGTCAAGTAGGCTGTCATGTCACATTGAATCTGTCATCAAGTTGGTTGTCATGTCACATTGAATCTGTAGTCAAGTAGGCTGTCATGTTACATTGAATCTGTCATCAAGGAGGCTGTCATGTCACATTGAATCTGTTGTCATGTCACATTGAATTTGTTGTCAAGTAGGCTGTCATGTCACATTTAATCTGTCGTCAAGTAGGCTGTCATGTCACATTGAATCTGTCATCAAGTTGGTTGTCATGTCACATTGAATCTGTCATCAAGTAGGCTGTCATGTTACATTGAATCTGTCATCAAGGAGGCTGTCATGTCACATTGAATCTGTTGTCATGTCACATTGAATCTGTCGTCAAGTGGGCTGTCATGTCACATTGAATCTGTCATCAAGTAAGCTGTCATGTCACATTGAATCTGTTGTCATGTCACATTGAATCTGTCATCAAGTGGGCTGTC